TTCCAAAATGGCACTGTACTTCTGCCGCTGTGCCTCCCTGGCCGACCGCGCTTCCCATCGGCAGCACGGCCGCGTCGCCGTCTCCCACTGCTTGCAGTGGCTCCTCCATCTCCGGCTCTGGCGCCCGCCCCCCCCTCGCCCCTCCGCATATACGCCTCGCCCGCCTCGCCCGCCTCGCCCGCCTCGCCCGCCTCGCCCGCCTCGCCCCCTCGCCCGCTCGCCCGCTCGCCCGCCTCGCCCCCTCGCTTGCCTCGTCCCCTCGCCCGCCTCGCCCCGCACACAGACAGACCACAAGACAGACACACCACGACAGACAGGCACACACACACACACACACACACACACACACACACACACACACACACACACACACACACACACACACACACACACACACACACACACACACACACACACACACACACACACACAACAGGCTCGCGCCTCTCTCCGCCGCAGGCTCGAGCTCGCCAACCTCTCCAACCTCGCCCGGGGGCTCCAGCCTCTCCTCCTCCCCCGCGGCCCTCCACGCCGCCTCCACCGCCGCGATGGCGCCTCTCGACACCACATGGCCGTCCGACCGCCTGCTGCCGCCGCTGCCCTCCTCCTCCTCCTCGCCCGCAGCGCCGCCGCCCGCCTCCGCCGGACAGCCACTGCCACCGCTGCAGCTCGCCGGACCCCGCAGCGAGACCGCGGTGGCGCCTCTGCCGCACCAACACGCCTCCGAGCCCGGCTCCTTCGCCGCGTCGCTCCGCCGCTGCGAGGAGGCGGCGCGGGCGGCGGGCGGCGACACGAACGGCGCGCTGCCCCCCCCCCCCCCCCCCTTCTCGGGAAGTCGCGGGCCCCCTGTAACGTCCATTTTAATACCCCAGGAAATGTCTAAAATAAAGCCCCCGGGCAAGGCCACCAAAATCGCCTTTCTAATTGTCCCATTTCACCCCCTCTAAAAGCCGGCGTCACGGCTCGAGGCGCGGGTGCACATGGGCTCGTTGACGGGGCGTCCTCCTCTTTCCCTTAGGCGACCTCCTCTCAGAGGAGGCGCTTGAGACCGCCCTCTCCGCTCTGCTGGCGGAGCACGCCGCAGAGCTGCCCGGTGGAGCGACGGCGGAGGCGGCGGAGGCGGCGGCGCGGCCGCTGCGTGCGTGGGGGCGGCTGGTGTGGGCGGCTTGCAACGCCGAGGCGCGTGCCGCACCCGCTTGGGGCCCCGTGGCTCGGGTTGGGGCGAGAAAGTCTCCTCTCGCTCCTCCCTCCCCACCCACCGCCCACCTCCCCTCCCCAGGCGCCTCCCCCCTCCCTTCCCACCGCCCCCCCCCCCCCCCCCCGAGGGGCG